CTGTTCTCCACACCCTGTGGTCGTATGTATCATGTATTTATTTGAAAAGACCTATATAGGGCGAACCCGAGGATCTAACTGAGTGGATAACATGCTTAATCAGCCATGCGGACCTTGAATTGAGCACGTGACACATGCCCCTCGTGTTGCGGAAAGGAAAAACTAAGGCTGCCACTGGCGGGGTTCTGATGCTATGACACACATCGGCGGGAATTCTATCACAACCTCCCATCCACGACAGTCTACCACCGATCAGTGTTCGCAAAGCCTACAAAGAAAGCCATAATGGCCGACGCCGTTGCGGAAGGAGTTGCTAAGCTCCAGCTCGACCCGGAGACGGGTGAAATGGTGTCTAAGGGAGAGCTCAAGAAACGTATGCAGAAGCGAGCCAAGAAGGCCTCCAAGGCGGCTGCGAAAGAGAACCAGCCAAGCAAGCCGGAGACAAAGGCTGCTGCTCCGCCCAAATCAGCCGAACCCACCCTCGATCCGGATGCTATGTTCAAGCAGGGCTTCCTCGCTGAAGTCTACAACTTGAGACCTTCGCCAAACGTCAGAACAAGATTTCCTCCCGAACCCAATGGATATCTCCATCTCGGCCACGCCAAGGCCATTGCGATTAACTTCGGTTTTGCGCGATACCACGGCGGTGTGACTATGCTTCGCTTCGACGACACGAATCCGGACGCCGAGGAGGAGAAGTATTTCGATGCGATCAAGGATATAATTCACTGGCTTGGTATGGTTTTCCGCGTGGACTTGGATCTAGTGCGCTCCGCTAATTGGTTTACCTCCCCCAGGATTTACTCCTCATGAGATTACCTACTCGAGTGACAACTTCCAGCGCTTGTATGACCTTGCCGAGAAGTTGATTCAGCAAGGCAATGCCTACGTCTGCCACTGTGGTGAGGCTGATCTTAAATTGCAACGCGGGGGTGAAGATGGCAAATCGCCACGATTCCACTGTGTCCACGCCTCCCAGGATGTGGAAACCAACCTTACCAAATTCCGCGATATGCGCGATGGGAAATATGAGCCGCAGACAGCCTTTTTGCGGATGCGCCAGGAGCTACTCACCAACGGAAACCCTCAGATGTGGGATATTGTCGCCTATCGTATCCCTAAGAACCGTACCCCCCATATCCGTACTGGTACGAAGTGGTGTATCTATCCATCCTACGATTTTGCCCAGTAAGTGCTTTTCCTGGCGTGAAGGCAGTTCAGATGTATGGTTACTAATTCTCTATACAGCTGTCTTTGCGATAGCTTTGAAGGTATCACTCACAGTCTGTGCACAACTGAGTTTGTTACTGCGCGTGAAAGCTACGAATGGTTGAACAAGACACTTGGTGTCTATGAGCCGATGCAGCGCGAATATGGTGGGTTGCTCTTCCTATAGTTGACCACGTCAAACTCCTGCTTACGCAGCTTTTAGGCCGTTTGAATGTCAGTGGTACTGTCATGAGTAAACGAATTCTGAGGGAACTTGTTGAAAAGGGACATGTGCGCGGCTGGGATGATCCTCGTCTTTATACCTTGATTGGTATTCGCCGGCGTGGCGTGCCTCCTGGTGCTATTCTTTCTTTCATCAACGAGCTAGGTGTGACTACGTCGCTCAGCACCATCCAGATTGCACGATTCGAACAGACGGTTCGCCGTTATCTCGAAACAACCGTCCCTCGCCTCATGTTGGTCCTAGACCCTGTTCGCGTCGTGATCCAAGACATCGGCGATTTAGACGGACAAGAGCTAGTGCTGCCATTCTCGCCAAAGCAGCCCGAATTTGGCTCCTATAAGTTGAAGATGACGTCGACTGTTTATATCGACCGGTCCGATTTCCGCGAAGTTTCTTCCAAGGAATTCTTCCGCCTGTCACCAGGTCAGACCGTCGGTTTGCTCCAGGTACCCCATCCTATTAAGGCAGTTTCTTTCTCCAAGGACCCGACTACCGGCAAGGTAACGGAGATCCAAGCCGTTTTGGCGAAAGACGCTCCGAAACCGAAGGCATACATCCAGTGGGTTCCGGAAGGCTCTCGTAAGGTCACAGTTCGGATCCATAATGCGCTGTTCAAGTCCGAAAACCCCAAAGCTGCGGAAGGTGGATTCCTCAACGACATTAATCCCGATAGTGAGAACGTTTACCCTGATGCACTTGTCAACGCTGGGTTTGATGAGGTTCGCCGCCGTGCTCCTTGGCCGCAGGCTGAGGGCGAAAAGACCCAGTCTGGGCCTGAAGGCGTCCGGTTCCAAGCCATGCGGGTTGCATACTTTGTAAGCTCACCGATTCCCTGACATATAACTGCGCAGAGACTAGTTGCTAATATCTTCCCATTACATAGGCGATGGACTCGGATAGTACTGAAGACTCGGTTGTGCTCAACCGGATCGTGGCTCTCAAAGAAGATGCTAAGAAATCCGAGAGCTAAATCAAATAGTATTAGGTTACGTTCTCTCGGGAGACCTGAAACGAGACGAAGTATGAGAAGATAGACAACAACAAGACATCCTGATAACCACGAGTTTGAGACTCAACCAACGCCTTTTCTCACAAGTGCATCTCCGTACAGATAGATATTGAGAGCATCAGCTGAGCCTGGTCACGTCGGTCTGAGTGGGAGCGGCTGAATGAAAGCAGCGGGCGGAACATGGGAAATGGAGCATAGAACAGAGAGTAGGGTATACTACTCTCAGAGCACATGTCAGGGTTATAGATAGCCGAGCATCATCCGCGATATTTGATATATCAAAAGGAGGCAACGTTATTGATTTGTCGCACTTTGGAGCCAGAATGACTACGACGTAAATGGGCACAGTATATTTCGCAGACCGATTTTTCCTGAAGCTACTTATCCTCAACATATACTCAGACTTGTTGAATTAATAATTAATAATAAAAACAGCCTGAAGCGAGCCATACTTAAAACCAACTTTAAGGGATAGAAATCAGTCATGCGTGGAGAAAAGTCCGGCAGATACAACTCGTATTCCCTAGGCTGCAGAAGCTCGCCCGCCCCACGTCTGCCTGCTCACCTCTAAGAAGAGCTCTAATCTTCCAAATAGCAACCGTTCAGTATCTTCACTTCAACCATGGACAGCGATGATTTTGTGCTCGTGGAAAAACAGGGTGAGTGATTGAAGCTATCATGATTGATTCATTCAAGCTAAATGAAGTCCCACAGATGAAGCGTTGGCTCCCAGCGGTGTGAACATCAGCTCTAAATATACAGCCAAAATCCCAGCTAATTCTCAATAGTGACCAGCCATGATACTGAACAGATACAAACCTGGCTGTCCCCAACAGAGTTTGAGATGGAGGGCAGTGAATATCAGAAACACCTGAGTGCCCATGCCTCCGGGACCGGGGACTGGCTGTTCCATACAGATCAGTACCGGACTTGGCACGATGCAAACATCAACACCTTATGGCTTCAAGGCATACCCGGCAGCGGCAAGTCTGTTATGGCTGCAAGGTTGATTCGTACCTTCAAAGAAGAAGGTATACCGGTATTGTTTTTCTTCGCTCGCCGAATCATCAAAACAAACAGCGAACCTCGGCAGCTTGTTCAAGATTGCCTGTATCAACTTTCAGGTCATAGTGTTCTGCTTCAGGCAAGGCTAAAGGTGCTTTTGGCTCTATACCCTACTGTCGATAGCGTTCCATTCCATGAGCTCTGGAGCCTCTTCTTATTCGGGGTTGACACCCTTCCCAAGGTATATATATTGTTGGATGCATTAGATGAGCTTGCGATCGAGAATGATGGCTTTCTTCAATCGTTACAAAAGCTTGGGCAACAGAGCCCGGAATCAACCAAGTTGATAATAACCAGTCGTCCGGAAGCCCATCTTCAGACAACGCTTAAAGGTTTCTTCCAGAATCGTATCCGTCTTACAGGGGCAATGGTGGAGCAGGATATTGCCACGTACATAGCTCACCGTCTAGTTAACCAGCAAAATAATCCTGCTGTGGCAGAAAGTCAGTCAATTGTCCAGGAAAGGCTCAGCCGAAAAGCACAAGGCTTGTTTCTCTATGCCCGTCTCATGCTCGATCAGATTCTTCTGCAATCTGAGCTGCCAGTGGAGAACCATTTACAGCACCTCCCTAGCTCACTGGAAGAGATGTATGTCAGCATATTGCATGAACACTCTTTGCGCTCTGGTGCTAGCCAACACTTTCAATGCTGGCTACTCTCGTGGGTCACACACGCTTGCCGTCCACTTCGGGTCACGGAATTAGCAGCTTTGGTCAATACTTCCTCTGATCGCAGCGGGCTAAGTAGCTCGCAGGATGCAAAAGTCATGATACGTAGATCATGTGGCCCACTTTTAGAGATCTTAGATAACGAAACTGTGCAAGTCATTCACCACTCATTTACCGAGTTCCTCTTAGACAGCAATCGCAATACTACGATAACTCCCACTGAAACTAGCAACCGGTTTCCCGTCTTAACACCCACCTCAACCCATCGCTCTCTCACTCTCTTGTGTGTTGATTATCTCTTATCTGGCTGTTTCAAACCTTGGTCATTGTCTGAGCGTCCGACCAAGCCAGCAGACCATGAGCCAGACCGCAAACAGCTAATGGTCCATTTCCCATTCCTACAGTACGCATCGCAGAACCTACTCTATCATGCAGCCAAGTGTGATGCCAGCGACCCAGAGTTCATATTACAATTAGATACTCTCTTTCAAAATGATAAGCACAGTTTCGAGAGCTGGAAGGACTTCATATTTGCAAAAAAGAACCAGACAGTCCCCGATAACTTTCATCCACTTCATCTCGCCGCTCAGGCTGGGCTATCGGCATATACCCAACATCTCCTAAAGGCACATGGGACCCGGATGTTGCTGATTCTTTTAATCGGACAGCAGTCACTTATGCTTGTATGCATGGCCAATTTGAGACTTTTACTGTTCTCTTAGGTTACAATGCCTCATTTAAAACCATCGATATCGATGGTCTAGCACCCATTCACCACGCAGCGAGGGGTAACCACGTCAAGGTCGTACAACGTTTACTTGAGGCTGGTGCAGACCCCATGTCTCCGAAGTCCTGCGAAGACCATGGCTACTGGAGGTGGAGTCCGTCTACATTAGGGAAGACACCGATACATTATGCGTGTGAGCTGGGCCACACAGCTTGTGTCTTGGAACTGCTACGGAACCTGGATCTCCCTTCGATGAGCTCAATCCTTCCACATTGGGCGTCTGCTACAGGTCAATCGAAAACTCTCGAAGCCCTTCTTAGGTACCCCGCAGTTCTGGAAAACTTGAACAAGAGGGACAGCTATGGCAACACAGCTTTATTCCTAGCTGCACGTCGCGGTGACCCGGAGACAGTTCGTGTTCTGCTTCATTATGGTGCCGATGTAAATGCGAGATCGGCCAGATTGAGCAATTCCGAGGCGCCATCTGACATAGAAATCGCAAAGAGCGGAAGAGGACAGACTCCAATCCATGGTTGGACAGCCGCCGGATATAGAAGTTGGAGTGAAGGGGACGTTTGCAGCATCAAGGAGTGGAAGAGAACAGGCGTTTTGCTGATCGAAGCAGGTTGCGATCTTGAAGCAAAAAATGAGGCCGGTCAGACTGCACTGTTTGCCTGGACTAAGCAGTATATGTGTGCTCCCCGTGGATCAGATAGAACAGAGCGATTCGTGGAGCTTCTCCTCCAACATGGTGCCAATCCCTGTGCGACTGACAACAAGGGAGATACACCCCTGCACAACCTATCAATAGATAACACGAACTCTAGGGTTCTCAAATTGTTTGTGAAAGCTGGAGCCAATATCAACCATGGTCGACAGGGAGATTTTGTAACGCCTCTTATCTCTGCCGCGATGAATCGAATCGTTGATGTTACGCCGTTCATCGAAAATGGGGCGGACCCAAACCTGCAGGCCTCGGATGGCAATACGGCTCTGCATCACATTTGCGCGTCATGGATGCTCAAGTACTCCCACGTACAGAACTGGCTGGAATTCGCAGATCCCACGGTCAAGAATAAAGCCGGAGAGACCTGTTTGTATAAGCTAGCCTTTGGAAACGACGGCCATGAAAGAGTAAAGGCCATCTCATTATTCACAGAGAAAGGACTAGATCTTGAGTCTCGAGACCGAAGGGGAAGGACAGCCCTACTTGCTGCGTGCGCAAATGCGGAGCCGCACTTCATCATTGGATTACTTGAGAATGGTGCTAATGCAAAAGCATTAGACTTTCAGCACAAGTCGTGTGGGTATAGGTGAGATATATTTGAATGCATAACTGTTCTAATAGTTCAATTAGGCCTCCACTTAGTTGCACAAGTTCAACTAACGCTGCACGGGAATGGAGAGGAAGACTTGAACTCAACAATGAAAGTTATGAAATTACTCATACAAAAAGGGGTTGACATTAACGGCGTCGACTTGGATGGAAACACTCCATTTCATGACGCGGTCGTATCAGGGGACCATTTCCTTCCCCTCCAAGCTAAACTCGAGGTAATTCTTGGACTTGGCGGGCTGGCCAACACAACAGACTATCGAGGGCAAACAGTTCTACACAAAGTTGCCAATCTTAGTAACCCGAGCACCTGTGACCGGATAGACTTCCTCTTGCAACCAAGTCTCGGCTTGGATATGAATTCACGAGATAATGAAGGTCTTGCGCCTATTCATTGTGCTTCTTCGAAATCGGAAATCATCACATGGCGACTTATACAGGCAGGGGCAGATATGCAGGCCCAGTCAAATGACGGTCGAACTCCGCTACACTTCGCGGCCGCCGCGGCGCAAAGCAATGTCGTGGGCATGCTATGCAAACTATATACGGAAAGCTCCTGGTCATTGGACCAAAAGGATAATCGTGGTTGCACTCCTCTGCACTACGCAGCTAGTTCAGGGAACTCTGAATGTGTCTATCACCTGTTGCAGGTTGGAGCAAATCTCAACATCGCAGACTACCACGGGAGGACCCCGCTGCACATGGTTGCAGAGCATAAAGTCGATGTGGCAACACTAAGAAAACAGCGTAAATATCGCGGAGGAGAGTTGTGGGGAAGAACTATGGATGGGTCCAACACATTGGGACCTTTTATACACCCGATGTTGCGGGACCAGCTACATGATGCCCATTGGCATCTAGGCTTCGCTATCGAGCGTGAAGACGAAGCATACATGATGCAGGATATTGTCCGGTTACTCCTGTCTGCAGGCGCAGACGTCAATCTGCGAGATAGCTCTGGTCAAACTGCTGGCGATATCGCTCTACATCTAGGTCACGAGGATGTATGGAATTTGCTCTCAATTCGCACACAGCAGTGTGAACTAACAGCCTTAATGGGTCAGGTATGCTCGTCGAAAAGCATGCGCGCTGAGGACATCGTTCAAGCTCTTAGTCTGGAAAAGGCAGACGCCTATAGCCTTCTTCAAGCTGCTATATTCTTGAGAAACGAGGCTTTACTAGATGCTCTACTAGGTGCTGGAGTAGACCTGATGACCAAAGGCCCTGAAGGGCTGACCCCAGTACACTATGTTGCGCACTGGGGTCTTTTATCCATGATGAAGACTATGGCACCGTATGTTAAGGATATTAATGATTTCTCTCCCCCGCTGCTTCACGTTGCAGCGGGTCGAAAGTTGTCCAACTTGCAGATGATGACTATGTTGATAGAATTGGGCATCGATGTCAATGCTTCATATCAAGAGCCATTCGACGTGGACTCCGACGAATTCACTGAAGAATCAACTCCAGAATACACGGCTACACATATGCTCGCAGCGGGCAGGCAGTGGTGGAATATCTCAGCACTCGAGATTCTCTGCAACGCAGGAGCAGACCTTGAAATCACAGACTCGGATGGAAACACCGTCCTACAATGTGCGCTTTCCGGCAAAAGCCACGGTCAACGTAAACATGGCTTCTGGAGGGATGAGACTCTGGAGGTGGTGCTAAGGCACGGCGCGAATATCAACAAACTATCTCCCAATAAGGACTCTACGCCTCTTCTTGTGGCTTTAGAAACCAACCGAGGTTGTAAACTCGTCCAGAGGCTCATTGACCACGGCGCCGATATCAATCTGGGCCATGTGCCAGCCTTATTTGCTGCCATAGAAAGTCGCAACTGTGATGCTGTAGCCATGATCCTGAACGCTGGTGCGGATGTCAATGCGGTATACTACCCAAAGAGACGATATGGGACAGGTCCCAAGGTAGAAACGCCCCTCCTAGCTGCCGCCTTGGAGCCAAGAGAAGTAGGAGAGACGATTATGACCCTCCTCCTGCAGCGGGGAGCAAATCCGTTATTGGAGCTTGAGGAGAGCAACAGCACAGTCCTCCATCAGATTGCCCACCACAATGGCCGCATTGGGCCCATCTTAAAATCTCGACCAGATGTTCTCGAAGCCATAGACCGCAACGGCCTTACCCCCTTACTGAGTGTCTGCTCCTCCATCGACGGATACTATACAGGCGAAGAGTCGACATCAATTGAACTGATAGATGCCGGCGCAAATATCCACATCACAGACAAGGATGGCTCAACCCCTCTCCACCTTGCCACCCGCTCAGGCAAATGCAAAACCGTCGCCATGTTATTAGAAAAAGGTGCACCCTATTCTACAACCGACAACGCCGGCCTGTCCCCTCTTTACTACGCACTCAGTTACTCGAATATCAACGAAAGACTTGAAATGACCAACGCATTGCTTGCTGCTGGTGTAAACCCCCTCATAACAGGCCCGAACGGCGAAACAGCACTACACATTCTCGCCCCACTATTAGTCTATTATAGCTCTCCTGACCACAGCCACCGACCAGAAAAGGAGATTTACCACCAAGCTGAGCTGAAAGACCTCTACGTTCGCTTCGTAGAATCCGGCTGCGATGTCAATGCCCGGGACGCCCAGGGAGACACTCCATTATTCCCGTTTGTCCGGACAATCAAGGAGCGAGACGAATACGGTATCGGCTCACCACCTGCAGAAGAGGATGTCCGCCAGATGTTCCAAGTTCATGATATATTTGCGGTTAATGACAATGGGGATACCTTGCTACATGCCATTGCCGGGCGGGAAGACACTCGTGAGAGTGAGAGTGAGCCCGATGGCGTGTGGTTGTTCGAGGAATTGATGGCGCGTGACTTGGATGCTAGGAAGGAGAATAAGCAAGGCCTGACAGCTTTGGATGTTGCTGCAGCTCGTGGGATGCAGGGGATTATGAGGTTGTTTGAGAAGGAGGAGTAGACAAGCAGACAGGTTACATGAGTAGTGCAGTTGCATTACAAGAAGTTGTAATATGGTGATATAGAAATCCGCATGAATTATACAACAGCATCTGAATAGCTTGTGATATATTGTGCCCCAGTAATCCTACAGATCTCCCTTTCTCTCTCCTTGACCGCCCGTTTCATTTGCTGAGCATCTTTCCGAGAATCTGCGAATTTACGTCCTGTCGTTGATCGCTGTCAGTATCTCAAGGATTCCGCATAGTGGCAGATAGCAGCGATGTCCCGCTCTCTCATGGCTATAGTTATATGCATAGCTTGCGCCTTCTTCACGTATCATTCGTTCTACGGCTATCTTTCAATCCACGCAATAACTTGTTCAGCAAGAAATCAACGGGCCCTGACTTCCATAATATCGTTCTCATTTGGGATTTTAAGTCTATTGCCGCCTATTGAAATCAAACGGCCCTTCTCACCATAGTAGTTGATGAGTTTGACCCAGCATATCGCTGCCATTGAGCCCCAAGTGCAACGTTTTGCCGTTGTCTATCTGCCACGAACCCGATCCCAAGACTTCCCCCCGGCCGAGTCGTTGAGAGGACGACTATCTTCGCCTCCTTCCTTGAGCAAAGTCGACTGACTTGATCTCGATTGCAATGTGATTCACTAGACCATGAAACACCTGCTGCTTCAAGACCCGAATCTCCTCTGAATAGTATGACAGGATCATTATGTCCTGTTCTGTGAGGCTGGCTTTAGCGAAGGCCTAAACCAGGTTTGTCATCTCTATAACATATTCAAGATTAAACATGGACGACGCATTTTCGCGCCGCCACAAGCCGGAGTTCGTGATATACACGATGAAAGAAGGCATCGCCAGTTTTCACAATGTATCACTAGCTGCCTCATTGCCGCCTGGAATGCCTTTTTAGAGGAAACGTGCAAAGAAGGGTAGCGTCTCAGAGTCATAAAACTCATCCGCGTTTCTGGAAGGTACTGTTGGGCCCAACTGCTTGATTTCACCACTGAGAACGGCTTTCTTCACGGACCCTAAAATGCGAGCGATACCATTTACCGTCAATGTTTCCGTTAATTGGGAAGCCTCCTCGACTAATACCGTCAAGGGCCAAAAGCCCCGGAGCAGCTTGCGGCCGGCTGTGCTAGCCGTGCAGAGAACGACCCGGGCTTTCTGCAGGTTGAACTGCTGCAGTTCGCGCCATGCCCCTTTGCGGCGACTTACCAGAGTTGCTAGCATATAGGCAGAATCACCAGCATCTGCCATCACGCTGGGATCTTCAACCACATCCTCCAAGAATAGGAAACCCCTCCGAGCAAGAGCTTCCTGGTAAGTAAGGAATGTCCACAATGGAACCATCTCATTGTCGTCACTACCAAGCCATCCTGGCCCCAACCATTTCGCATACTCAAGGCGTTTGATTATATGACTTCCTAGAGACAGCCCGTTTTGCTGGGTGGTGGATGCTTCGATACTTAACCGGAGTAAGGTAAATTGCTGATCGGCAATTTCCATTTGGCCCAGGTCTGAGCGGATTTTCATGACGAATTCTGTGTCTGATACAGCTTGGATCCGCGGCGCGAACTGTGTTTCCGCCTCCTCATGATATTCAGTATCGAATTGAAAGATGCCATCGGCTCCCTGGGGATCGTTTTGGAATTGGAGAGCTTTCACAATACGATTAGAGATCACGTCGAGTCCTTGGTTCGAGCCGCATACTATCAGAAGCGGTCTTTTGGTCTGAGAACGATACAAGGCGATTGTCGCGGAAACCGAGGTTTTGCCCGTTCCCGGCGCTCCAGTGACGAGTGTAACGAACTCTCTGTAGGTCTGACCAACAGAGAGAGCAGATTTGACCGCCGCATACTGTTCCGTATTAACTGAATTCCGGAGGCTGTCAATGTATGTAATGGCTTCCGGAGATGCTCATTGCATCCTTCCATGCAGGGGGGATGGCTGTTTTGTTTGCCCCAGGAGTAAGGTTTCAATGGGCTGTTCCTAGGGATCCCTAAATCTCCGGACCCATATTACCAGGTCCATAGGACCACGGTATACTCATTCCACCCATCTATGCAGGGGGGTGATAATAGTTTTTGCCCCAGTAGTAAGGCGTTAATGAGTTGTTCCTAGAGATACCTATATCTCTGGTTCCATATTACGAGGTTCATACGACCATAGGGTGAAGGGCAGATCAAGAAGTCATAGATGATGAGTATCGAGAAATCTTCTCTCAGGGGGGAAGGAGGCTCTTTATATAGATAAGTTAGGCAGTATTGAGTGCAGTGTGCAGGTGAATCCAGATAGAGCCAATTGTAGGTAATAGGCCATGCTGTCAACATCGTGGTGAATGTAGGACGTGGATGTTCTAGACATGGCGTGTGTCGGTTCTCTTTCCCAGTTTAGGGGGGGGACTTCTTTCAGAATTCATCTAGTCTGACCTCATGAATGAAAAGTACTGTGGTATCTTAGTTTTCTGTCATACTTGAATTGTAAGCTGTAGTTGAAAGGCAACACCACACTATAGTGGACCCGGACTGGCACTTGTTAACTAAGTACAGATTGGAGAAGTCTATTCAATTCTCGTCCGTAGGACGGCGATATCGATGCCTCGCTCAGGCTGTATAAGTCCCATGTTATATTTCTCTGTACGGAGCCCCTCGTATCATCCAGAATGACGGCTTTATATCGTTCTCATCGAGATCTAGGACACCATACGGATCAGTCCTGTCTACAGCAATCTGTCGTACTATCAAAACTAGCCGTGAATTTTGTTAGAAAACCATTGACTGGTTGCACCTTAGTACCCTATAGGCTATAGATTAAACTAGAAAATACAAGTGGAAGAATGGCGAAAGGAACTAAAATTTTCGGGATAATCTCTTCTGCGCACCCTGGTATCAATAATATCAGTTATCAGTACTAGGCAAACTTCATGATGCATTTATAGAGGTTGTAGCTAGCAACAAACTCGTCAGGTGCTATCCTTGTTAATTGGGCCGAATTTCAGGGTTTAGGACTACCACGGGTAAAACAACCAACTGGCGTGGCATCAGGCGCATGCGATGCTGCAACAATAAATAGATATCCCAAAGTCCATCAAACGGGCGTATTAAAGTAAGTACCAAGCATAGCCCAAAAGTCTCCACCTAAGCCTCACTTTTGGACCCCAAACACTGCCCCTCCCAACAGCAGACCGCAAGGCTGCAAAACGTCTTAACGTTCATTGGGCTGGCTATTCCGCGACTAGAATTCTAGCACCAAAGCTAAGATATCCCGTGCCATGCAGATCTTACTGCCCGTTTTATTATAGAGTATAAGCACAGCCTTGATGCCGAAATGAAAGGAGGTGATCACATCTCTCCGCCGTGCTGGTGGATAAATCCACAGCAGCAATATGCCTTCAGAGGCCTCAGAGTCGGACTCGCCCGTCTCGAGTATACCCTCTGACGAACCCATACCGCAAAGCGATGACCAAATGTTACGTGCGGATGGGCTTCGACTGATATTTCGCGACTCGGTATCAACCTCCCTCGAGAAAACAGGGGGTAACAACAAAAGAAGATTCTCCAGACAATCGATATCGACGCTGAGCTCTGAATGGTATATCTGGGAAGTCCTGGCGCTTATCTTGTCAGCTGCAACCCTCATCGCCATCATCGTCATCCTCGCCAAGTTTGACCAGCAACCGCAACCCTCCTGGAAGCACGTCTCCCTGAACTCGGTCATCTCCTGGCTGAGCACGATCTCGAAGGGATGTGTTCTGTACGCGATCAGCGCGGCCCTGGGTCAGTTGAAGTGGGTGTGGTTCGCGCAGGGCACACGGCCCATGTCGAATCTCCGGACATTCGATACGGCTAGTCGAGGGTTCTATGGAAGTGGAGAATTGTTATGGACGTTGCGGTTTCGGTGAGTAAATGGGCACTGTTCTGTTGTTTCTACGTCTTCCACTAATGGATTCTGCCTTTATACAGACACTTCGCGGTTTGGGGTAGCTTGGCTGTGATTCTAGCACTAGCTTTCGATCCCTTCACGCAGAACCTCATTCATTACTTCCCAAATTCAGTCTACGACTCTTCTCAGAGAGCCTTCCTCGCAAATAGCACATACTACAACACCACCGGGCCCCCTTTGCAGAACGATGCCAGTAAGTCAGCCAACAGCCACACGTCGCAAGCCATAACTGAGACAAACCGATGCAGTCGTCTGGGTCGACCCATCCCTCAAAGCAAACGTGTATAATTCACTCTTCAACAACGACCAGTCCAAGCCATGGGCCACCCCCAAATACATCTGCAGTACGAGCAACTGCACCTGGGGCCCAACTGCCGCTATCGAAGTCCGCGCGCGCTGCTCAGACGTCACAGATCTGCTCAATACAACCTGCACCACCATCACAGAAAGCCCCTTGGGATACACCGGAATCACAAACTGCTCAGCGACCCTCCCACTCGCAAATACAACAGCATGGTTCCTCTCCGGCATGGATGTCCTCCAACCCTTGTCCATCGCAACCGTGCACGCCTCAACAGCGCTGATCTATAAGAACGCCACTCTATCCCCAATCCAGATGGTCGTCCCGACCAACCTAACCATGAAAACCATGCTTACAGAAAACACCACAAAGTGGCATGCCACGGAATGCTCCATCCAGCCGGTCGTCCACAGCTTCAACGCCACCGTCAAGGACAACATCTACACTGAAACCACAATCAACACGTGGGAAAAGAGCCGCGCAACCTGGGACAGCAACCGCGACTCGAACGTCTCAGCAGGCATATACTTCGACCCCCCTTGGGGTCTTGAACAGGGCATCAGCCCAAACACAAGCTTCATGTTCTCTGGTCTTGCAGTTTCCTCGCTCGATACCTTCTTCCAGGGTCTCTTCACGGGAGTCTGGCTCATGCGGTCTGCCTATAGTTCTTCGTTTCTCCCCGGCCCGCTTGATATGTATGCTGCGCCGGATTTTCTCCAGGCCATGGCTATTGGGAACATCACTGGTTGTGACATGGGGAGTATGGATAAGCTTAAATGCGCGATGGAGAATGTCGCCGCAGCGGTGACGAAGTCGTTTCGTGATTCGGCATATATTGGGGCAGACTCGGACCCGGTGGGTGCACGCATGGCGGCTGGACGGGCGATGGCTAGTATGACTTTTGTCGAGGTAAGGTGGCCGTGGATTGTTCTTCCGGCTTTGGTCTGGGTGTTGGGTGCTGTGACGCTGCTTGGGACTATGTGGAAGAGTCGGAAGGCGAGGGCCCCCAAGTGGAGGAATGATCCTATTCCTCTGTTGTTCTTGTTTCAGGGTCAGGGGTATGGTGTCGGCGTGTCTGAGAGGGAGGCTGAAGAAAGGGCTGAGAGTCTGCGGGTTAAATTGGATCGGAGTAATGGGAGGATAGTCTTGAGTTGATGTGTGGTTGCTTTATATCTTGGTTATAATGTCTATATGGAGGTAATTTTAGTACACGTGTTATGAGATACATTAATGCAAGCTATATGCTGTCAGAGGTATCTCGAACTGTGTGATATGTCGAGAACAGTAGGATACGCTGCTAGCAAGAAGCAACGCAAAGTCATCAAGCATATAATTTCGTCAATAGGGCTTGACAGTATCCACCGAGGTGAAGCTACAATGCCCTATCCTCTCCACACTCCTCTCCACACTCCTCTCAGAATGGTCAGTCACCCCAGCTGGTGGCGCAAGTGTCTCCCCTCACATCATTGGGCCGAGGGCAGCATTGTCGATTTCATTCTTCGGTGGATGGCAAGCAGCGGCCAACGCCATGAGGGACTTGAATTTGAGAAACGCCAGCGCAATCACCGCACACAGCATAACTGTGCCAGTAATAACAGCTCAGAAGGTAGATGGACACGAATAGTTGACCGACTTGAGCTGTGGGCTGTACTCTAGCTGTTCGAATATGTCATAAGGGATTACTTGGGCGTAGAACAAGCTTCGTGACACTAGCCAGTGGAGGATCATAATAGAGGACCAGAATCAGGATACCGTACTGGTACAGAATGCTGAGCCAGTAAGTTGAGCGCTGCTTGCTGTTCTTGACGGGCCAAGCGACGCGGAGTTGTTGTAGCAGTAGAAGATGATAGCGATGACGAGCTGGGGAAAGTCGACTAAGGTCATTCTAGAATATGAAAAGGCAAACTACAACTGAAGGAAAGTCGAAAGGTCAGTTGAATGAGGATAAATAATCTCAAATGGAGCTATTAAGACTAACTAACTACTAGTTACGCTAGTTATCTTTGCTGACAAAATTAAACAAGAGAATATAAAATCAAGAAAGCGGAACAACACTAGCAAAAGTAAGGAGCAGGTTCAAAGTATTCAAAGCACCGAATCCGTTCACGGCGTCGTGTTTCACTAATTCGGAAGTTCCGCAATGAGCGTAGCCACCAGTCCAGCGAACCCATCGTTTTGCCATCTATCTGATGACAGTGGTCGGTGATAACCAAAACTTCACAGTCGCGTAAATATCTGGATATTGCAATTACTAGCTCGCGCACAACTTGGTTCACTGTGCGCTCTCCTGCGCGCTCTCCAGTAGACCTTGTCTCGTCCTCCCAAATCCATTCCTGGTCAGAATCGCACGAATATGTTGAGTCTGCACTATCCTCCAGATCCTCCGCCGTGCTCTCTCCAGTAGAGCTTATCTCCTTCGCCCGAAACCATTCCTGCTTGCGTAGATATTGTGATACCGCGCTTTGCAGTTGGTGCATATCTTCCAAAAGTCCATCCTTCACTGTGCGCTTTCCAGTAGAACTTGTCTCATCCTCCCTAAACCATTCCTGGTCGGAGTCGCACGAATCTGTTGATTCTGCACTTTCCTCGGAATCCTCCACCGTGCTCTCTCCAGTAGAGCTTATCTCGTTCGCCCTAACCCAATCTAAGTCGCAGAAAACCCACGGCTTCTCCTGCGGCATCAATGCTGCCGTGACTATTCCATCAAGGAGAAGCGGCATGAGAAAAGATCCACCGTGGCGACGGAATGTAACTCTGGTAAATGAAGGCCGGTCTTGTTGCCGTCCAGGGTATGCTTCGATAATCCCAATATACGGGGTCGGGGGTTGTTGGATCAACATGCGTCGCCAGCTGGCATTCTTGCGGAGATACACCTCTTCGTCAATGGGATCAATATCGGAGAAGGTATACGTTATCTCGTCAAGGAAAAACTCATCAGGCAACTGAAACCGCTTCCTGAAAAACTGTGGCCACAACTTGTCTCGTAAAAGTGGGTTACTGATACGATCTGTGCTAGGGCGTTTGGCTGGTTTGAAAAAGAGAGCTTCCTGGAGGGGACCAGAGCTCAGGATTAGGTCGTGCCAGTAGTGGCACACTCGTTGGACAGATGTGAGCAGAGTACAGATATCACAATCTAGAAGAATCCTCTCCAGAATCTCTGGGATGTAGAAGATTCTGTGTATGTCGGTGCTGGCCATCTTGGGAGGGGGTCGGGTGGATGATAGATGAGTGAGGTATGCAGGATCTGTTTATCACGTATGCTAGTATTAGGATACTCGATTAGCTATACTCCCGCTTTTGGATAGAGAAAAGATGCTTTAGCTGTTGCAGAATATGCAGGTTTTCTTCGTCAGTACACAATCATGATCTCTTTCGAGGTGAGGTCACACTTACTCACCACACTCTAGTCTATGTCTTCATAGTAATCTGGTCGAGTAAACACGCAATGAATACGTAGACTACCTTCGCCAATATCCTGCGTATACATACAACTACAACAATGTACTGGAATCAACCCTTGGAACGAGTCTGCCATTTTCACAACCATACGTGTGTAACTATAGATTATTATCCCCAACATCCAACAGATCAGATACAACGTGCTTAGGCACAGAGCTTAAGCCAGAGCTAGAACTGCCGTTGTCTATATCCCCAGGCGCAATACGCGAGACCTCTCACAGTATCATCGCCAGATAGCCGATGATCTGCATATCTTGGGCATCCCCATGCCCACAGTGCACAGTCTGGACTGCGTACTATTCCAGTCCTGCGACGATGTGTGCACTATGTAACACAGTGCCAATTACCTCTCCATGGTCATTAAGACGGTAGAACCGGAATTTGTATCCGTCTGACGCTAAGCCAGACACCGCGCGTTGGTTTCTTTCACATCTGGCCCGAAGTACCATAGCTAGGGAACTGTTAGACCAGCACAATAAGCAGCAGGTTACGAAAACGTACCCATATAGGCCAGCAACCGTGGTTTCACGGACTCTACACACAAGAGCTTTTTCGCTCCAACAACCAGCAAGAAACATTCCATGGATCTCGGGTTCGTGTGCCAAAGACAGCAGTCCACGATCCCATGCAGCGACCGCTTCTTGCGTCGTATTAACTTGCGCAGCCTTATACGGGCCTCTAAAGTCCATTTAATTGGACCGTGATTTGAAGCAAAGTATCAAACAACACGGCATCTAGCCTGATGCGGGCTAATATCTCGTTTTCTGTGGCGCTGCTGAGTGCATCAAGCTTTTTTATTGACTTTCCTGGACAATCAAAGGAGCTGAGCATCATCCGATGGGTAAATATCGCTCAAGACTTACTAGGGAAGCTAAATACCCAAGTCAGAGTAGTCGCTATCCAGTATCCAGTGAGACGTCTCGTCCTTTCTGAGGCCGAAGCACTTCTCAATTTCATGGAGGATCAACTCGGGAACGACAAATGATGGCGGGTTTTATAGAGAGGAACTAGTGAGACAATTGAAGTCATTCTGCAATTGATTGAATTCGTTTGGATTGATATTCCCCTCCTTTCTCAAGCCTGTAGCAAGCATTCATCAGGCGCACGATTCCCTTCATCTTGATTCACGTAAGGAACAGAGGAGCCTGTCACGCTGGACCTTGGTGTAGTGTTAAGTTATGGCAAAACTCTTGATTTCATTCCCTAGGTATACCAGATTACTCTTTCCACGCTTTCTCTTCTCTACTTTCTATCTTCTTCACTTATTCTCTGTGTATGGAATCATAGGTATGATCAAGAACGCTAAAGGAAAGAGAAGGAATACCAAAGAAAACCGTAGAACGATCCTGTGCGTAGGAGTATTCAGTCTACAGCTTTCAGGATTAATAAGAGATGAATAATCCTAGGCGGCGGGAAATAGACAAAAAATAATAATACAATTTAAAGCAGATGGAGCCCCTGGCTGGAGACTATGTGAACCTGTTACGATAAGGATCGTTGTGGCATCGGCAGTTGAGCCATGTTGCCAGGAATCTCTAGGATTCATATACCAGGCTCAAAACCGGAATAACTGTTGGGTTAGGGTTCAAGGGACTCGAGAATCTCACAGATATTAGCAGAGACGAACAAGTCACTGGGTTTAAGTGCATCGTTGACTCTACGTACTTATTGTATACTGGGGGCTGGGGACATTGCATACTTACTCTACCCATGTCAATTGCTTAGTACAATTTCGTTATACATCTACTTGTATTCATAACGTACTATGGATACTGCCTGATACAAGATCAATATCCATAACATGGTGAGGCTGGTTCTCTAATATATATTCAGGGGTAGGGCTGGCGAGCAGTTATAGCCATATCTACGTTTACCTGCCCAATAAGCACGCAACCTGCCTCGGTATTCCTAGGTAGAGCTACAGAAACCAATGACCCCTGAGAATACTCTAGTCTCGACAAACAAATATACAATTACATATATACCAGAAAAGGTCTGGCAACGCTTGGCGCCCTCCTTCCGTTCTAGTGCTCACCCCCTCGCCGCTTTTACCCAGAGCTGCTCAGTGATCGTTACGTAATCAGGGTGACCTGCTCACTGAGCCTAACCACAGCCTCCCTGATCTGATCACTGATCTCAGGTCCAGTCATTTCCGTAGAAGACATCGTACGTTTTATTGACTGTGCAGAAAGTAGTGTAGTAGTGTAGAGGTTGTACAAAGTAGCTGAAAGAATAAGGCGGTTTGGGGAGTGGATTGTTTTAAATGGACGCCTTGTCGCTGATTTATATACTCGCAGGCGACAGGCAAGTGCGGCGTCGTCCCACCCGCTCTGGGATGTCTCGACCGAAATTCCGGGGTTCTCGGGGCGTGGGAGGTGGGCAGTAACTTCATCAGTGCTGTGGGGAAACGGGGGTGGGTTTGCTGCGGGGCTCTAGCAACTCAGCCACCGGTTCTTACGCCTAGCTGCGGTAATCAACCTTTTTGTGGCGGTCACTGCCTGGAGGAGTGGCGGGACGACGAATTAGGCATCATGCTGAGTGTTGGAATGCTCAGAGCTCCTACATTTTTCACAAACCTCGTTATCTGTGCCTGAACCCCTTTCCAGAGCTTTGTATGAACTATATAATACTTGTCATTCTAGCTGAAATACCGCAAGCTAGTTACCGTAGAGTGAATTGGTAAGTGCTTGTGTTCCCACGCTCTGTATCCCATTAGTAACTGGGAAGATTCGGCGTCGTTGACTGTTGTGGGGGTTACTCCGCTCTGCGAGCGTTGCCATTGGTCGTCTCGTACGGTCATCGATGCCAACCATGGAACCAGAAGGCGACACTACACTGGAAGCTATTTAGAGGTCGTAAGGACACGCTGCATATTTCTTCCTCGTCATTTCTCAATCTTAACCCCAACCCCGGACTCCTCATTAGTGTAAATCTGTATCAGCTCCAGCAATGACACGTGTTAAGCCTGGCCAGCGCCAGCGAGCCCGGGCCCCCAAAGTTCGCAGTGGCTGCATCACCTGCAAGTAAGTGGCCTTCCCTTGCCCTTCCGAATTTTCTTGTCGCCCGGGCTAATATGACCAAAATGCAGAAGTCAGTGCTAGTCTCAAACCCTGCATGCTCCTGTATCATGATGATCAGAGTATCTTATTCCGTGATTAGTTCGAAAAGTCAAGTGCGATGAGACGCGACCCCATTGTTCGAGATGTGAGTAGTCGCTTAACTGACCTCCGCTCAACATCAAAATCACCTCGTAATCAAAAAAAATATCTCAGGCACATCAAGCAAGCGACGGTGCGACGGGTACAGGGATCCAGTCCCGTTGGCGACAGAACCACAGGCACCACCGGCGACACTCACACCATGCAGGGACCCTCGAGAGTCACGGGCCCTCCAGTTTTACTTTGAGCAAACGCTGCCACAGATCTCGACTTTCTTTCCTGATGAGCTGTGGAGCGTCTGGGTCCCACAGCTGGCTCAGTCAGAACCGAGTATACGGCATGCTCTAGTCACGCTAGCGTCCTATCACGAACTCTTTACCCGCCACGAGGACGAGAGTACGACTTATCTGGCCCTTCAATACTATAACAAAGCTATCAAGGATATACTGTACACAGCCAAGTCTCCACGTGGGCTATTTGTCCATTTTCTGTCGTCTGCACTTTTCATTTGCATCGAGGTAGGTAGTGGCTCTTGCACCTCCACCACAACCCATGGAATGATTTCTGACTGGATACAGATACTGCGGGGGCGGGTGGCTCATGGGATAGTTCTTCTCAAGCGCGCGATTGGGCTCCTGCGAGGAATACAGAAGCGTCGATGTGGAGGCCCAACATCCAACAGCAGGGAAGACTCGTCCGATCTCGATGCAGTTATCGGCTTAGTAGAGGCGTTTTTATTCCGCTTGTCGTTGCAAGCCTTCCTGGTAAGCTTTCACTACTCATTCAGTCCCCTGATGGAGGTATCTGATAATAGGTATAAGTGGCTAATCAAAGTTGAAGCTTTAGCTAGTCGGAGACCTCGATGACGAAATTTCGAGCATCGCATTGTCCACAATCAAATCCAGTAAATCGACCCTATCTAGTCATACTATTTTCCATTCACCTACAGATGCCCGAAATTCACTCCTCGAAATTGTGATTTTATGCATGAAACGAGGTCAGGAGGGAGTCCTAGCTTTTAGCCACTGGCGTAATGCCTTCGACCGATTCTGCTTCACCCGCCGTTACAGGATGACAAGTCCTGCCGATAGGCGGACTAAGGCACTGTTACAGCTCTACCGGGAATACCTCGAGGTGGAGATCTCGGTGGCAGGGTTTCAGAGCCGGGATGACCCGTCGGTATGGGATCGATACTATGACTTGTTTCGCCGTATGGTCTACTGTGCCGAACAGGTACGGGATGTGAATAATGGCTCCGTAAATACGCAGCCTCACTTCCACCTAGATATTGGCACGGTGCCAATCCTCTATTCCATAGTTCTCAAGTGTCGAGATCACCAAGTGAGAGAACGGGCATTAATGACCTTACAGTCCCAAACTCTACTGGAGGGTCTCTGGAATAGTAACCAGCTTCTACCAGTGGCTCAGCGAGTTGTCGTGCTCGAGGGAGGAACGTCAGCTTCATCGCCCCAGGACATCTCGAATATGATACGGGTGAGGAAGGTGCTGACAAAATTTGAGTTTCATGAGAAATTAATCCTATACTATCATCTGTCGAGTGGATGGGTGAAGGAATCTGTTGACATCAAAGAGGATTCGCGGTACCAGCGCTCCAGAAGTTCTCAGTCCATGCTGGTTGGCTCAGCTGCAGAGGAGCAAACCCGCTAGACCCACTGTACCATGAGGAAAATAAGTACTTTCAAGTATAATAATCTGTTAGGTTCTTCAAATCCTGATTGCCACACTGGAACAACCAACCAACCCCTTTGGGTGGCTTGATACTTCAGATCCATAGCTCCAGCTCCCGATTGAGATCGATTGAGATCACGATGACTCTGACTTCTCTAACCTCTCAGCACTACCGTTTGGCTATCCCCTGGATTTTAGTACCTTTCCAAACAAAGAATGTCGGCTATAGCAACACGCCCAACGGAATGTCGGCAACGGTGGCCTGATCCTCGACCAAACGATCTCACCTTCTGGGGTACTCCACGATCCACCGGAGGCCGAAGTCGTAGATTACGATCTAGATGGTGGGGTTTATATCTGTTCGGAGCGGGACTTTGAACCATGCTAAGTCATAACCACCAATTCCCGGTAATCTGCGAGAAAGAGAATCGAGAAACAAGCGGTGACCTCTTTTGATAGAGATTGAATCCCAGATAGTACCTGTCACACGTGGGCGAGGGCTGATGTCCGTCAGTGTGGTAGTGATCTCCTGTCGTCGAGATCTACAGTCCAGGTCCTATTGTATAGACTGCTGCGGCATATCCGCTCCAATGGATATAAGATCCAATACCGTATTTGTAAATTATAGATAGTAAATATAGCTTTAATACTATATTTTTAATAAAGGTATTTTAAAATATATTTATTAATTATAATTAAGAGATTAATTAATTTTAATTAAATTAGGTTATAG